AAGCAAAATATATGGTATTTTACCTTATATTGCGCCTGAAATTTTACGTGGACGAAATTATACCAAAGCTGCAGATATTTATAGTTTTGGTATAATAATGTATGAAGTAATTTCTGGATTACTTCCATATTATGATGTAGGTCATGATGTAAATTTAGCAGCGAATATTTGTAAAGGACTTCGACCAAGGTTTAATATTAAAGTACCCCAATTGATTGTGCATTTAATTAAAAGATGCTTGGATGCAAATCAATCAAATCGACCAAATGCAGCAGAAATTAAAAAAACTTTAAATCAATGGCTTAGTGAATCACAAGGTTTGATAGTATATGATATTAGTAGTAGTAATAATTATACAAGTATGCGAAAGCAAATTATGGAAGTAGATGAAATAAACAAAAGTTCATCAAATAGCAGTATAACTTCGACAAATTTAGGAACATCTTATGTAACACATTCAGAAGCTGTTTATACCAGTAGATTACTTGATTTTAGTAATCTTCCTGAGCCAAAAAATTCTGATGATTATTATGAAGAAAACGGTAATATAATTAGCATGAAATTTTCAGGTATTTATTAGTAGAAAAAGATTTTATATTAATTGTAAAAAATACTGATAAGGTTTAATTTTTTAATAGAATCCTTACAAATTGATATTTCTCAATTGAAAATTAGTAATTCTTTTGAACTAAAAAATTCTGATGATAATTATGAAAAGAATGATAATATTAAAATGAAACCTTCAGGTATACTTTCTAAAAAAAATTAATAAAATCAATTATAAATTATTAATAAATTTTTAATTCATTAAATAGAATCCTTACAAATTGATATTTTACAGTCTCCTGAACCAGATAATTCTGATGATTCTTACGAAAAAAATGATAATATTATTAGTATGAATTCTTCAGCAGGTATTGATTAATAAAAAATATTTAGATTGTTACTTAAAAAAAACACTAATTTTTTTCCATTAAATAGAATCACTACAAATTGATATTTATCAATTGAACACTAGTAAAGATGGTAACTATTCTTTAGATATGTATAAAAAAAACTAGTCTATTGTATAATATACTTATTTTATTTGTTTATTTTTTTAGACCAGGATAGAAAATCAAAAGGCAAAGAAAAAATTTAGACCAATTATAATCCTTTGCTATTTTAGTTATTAAATTTTTAAATTTTTATTTTTTTTTCGCTATTATAGTTTAAAATTTTAATTATCATTAATCTTCAGCGGAAATGTAACAAATTTATACTATAATATAGTTTAAAAAACGGTCTTGTTTTTTATTAGCGGATTACTATTTTTAATTAGTTTGATAAAGTTATATAAATTGGAAGAATAGAAGTAGGAATAGAAATAATGATAGATAAACTTTTAAATTATACTAGCCTTATTGATTAACTTGTATGTATTTATTCATTTATTTTATATTTACTCTATTCATCAATTAAATAAAAAATTTTTTTAAAATCAAAATATAATTTAGTTTTGTTCTTAATGAAATCTGTAATAAAATGTCTATAATTATATTATCTTATAATTTATCTATTAAGACCGAATTTACATAAAAAACTAGTAATCCATAAATTTACTAATAGTGCTTCAATAATACTAATTCTATATAAATACTGTATTATCTCAATTTAATTCTGACAATTTTTTTTAATATACCTTTAAAAATTTTATATTTGGAAAAGTTTACATATTTTGTTGAAATTGTTATTTAGTTAAATTTTTTTTTTTTTTGGTCTACTAGCGAAAAGTCCTTATTCGATAAAACATATCGATATCAAAGAAGAAAATAATAAAAATGTCCATAATATACAGAAAATGTTTTCTAGCTTCAATAAACAATACTTTGTTTGCAATATTCATGCTACATTATAAATAAGCCGGAATCGAATTTCTATAATAAATTATTTTTCGTGTACTCCTTTGCAAAAAGATTTATTAAAACGATTTTATGTTGATATCATCGTTTATTACCTTTGTGACCTCATGAAATTGTAACATATCAGTAAAATATCTATCAACTGTGTTAAGTGTTGACAAGAAAGTAGTTCAACGTTTTCATTATTACACTTTTAAAATTTATTAATATTAATTTGAGTCTGATTCTGACAGGAATTAAGATTTCATATATTTCGGTCAAATTTAATGCTAACCAAATCCTAAAATCACGTTTCTTTCTATTTTTTCTTAACTCGATTCTCGCTGTTGATACCGTTGTTGCTACCATGGTCCATTAGACCCTGTAGGTCCTGCAAAATTTCAAAAATTACCAAATCCTCCTGGATATTAAAACTAATTTATGGAAAGCTCTTTAAATACAAGGATTTAAATAAAAGTGGAAAAAACGAACCCTGTCGCTAGATAAAAAAATTTATTTGATCGACATTTGCAACAATTCAATATTATCATGTACTGTATAATAAATAACAAATGGTCCAGAAGAATCAAAGTCTAGTAATATTATATAAACATTATTTTAAACGTAATCAAAAAAAAAAGAATTAAGTCAGATACATTACATTGATTTTAACGTTGCTTTCAACAAACCTAAATTTCATCATACAGAAAAATTTATAATGTTTACCAGAATTTTATTAAGATTTTAGCATTAACAAAATTAAATAATAATATTTATTTATTTATTTTCTTTTTATCTTATATCTTAGAAGTGATGATAATTTAAGGCAATCACTTTAATACATTATAAACTTTTATAACTTTGAACTATTTTAGTTATTTAAATAAAATCTTCTGTAATTAAATGAAACTGAGCATGGATAAAAATCCCATTGATTGGTTCAATTTCAATATTGATCAGCCAATAAATTGCAAATTATCGATTTTACGTGATATAAGAAATTACGCGGACGAAAAAAAGAAAACTTTATTTTTCATAAATTTACAACATTTATAATAAATAAAAAATTTTACAGTTCAACTACCAGTAAAAATAAACTGTGCCCATTCTTACAATATATAAATCATCCAGATTAAATTATAGAATAATGAGAAATTATGAAAAATATAGATAATTAATTATCATTCTCTTAAAAATTAATAGCTAAGTTTCCTGTGATTCAATTTGAACAATCTTTGATTTTTCTGAAAGAGAAAATAACGTTCTTTCTAGCAACTATAAAATTATCATGATTCAATACGTCTATCTATAGTTATGGATATTTAAAGATACATAACCTTACTATTACATAAATGCTTCGGTAACGCTTTATTTCATAAATAATAAAGAATCGATGTATTCATTTTTTGCTCTATAAAATCACTCGAAAGCACACACGTTTAAAAATCAAAGTAAAGCTTTTTTATTTTCCATAAAGTAATATTATAAGAAAGGAACCAGTTGCTATGCAAAGCGAAATAATAAAGCGGATAGCGAGTGTTTCAAGGGAGGAATATGCCCAACCACCCCTCTTCGTGATATTTCTCTCAAAAAACTCCTGAATCGTATTCTTTTTGATTTTCCCTCCAAGTTCATGAATTTCCATTGCGACGAGAAGGCACATCTCCTCTGCTGTATTAAGTTGTTTTTCATCCCTTATTTGATCGAAAAGTTGTTTGAATCAGGTCCAGACAGTTAGGCTAATACCTCTGAATGTTATTGGACCGGAATCTGCAAATATAGCGAATTATAGAATTATAAATTATGGATACATATATGGAATAAATTCTGGATTGCTTACCAGAACTTCCTGACGAATTTGCATGTGACTATCTTGATGTTTCTGATTGGCTAGCCATGCTCAGCTGATCAGTTTCGACTGGCTGAATTCTTCGGGCAACAGCATATTGACGAATCATTTCATTTTGGAGATTTTCAATGGAAGCATTAATTGCGGTGAATCATTACGGCAGGCCTCTTCGATGGTATTAAGTCTCACGGTTATGTTATTAACCATCGATAAGATTTTCTGCGCCTCTTTTGTTAAGATGTGCCTTAATTTTTCCGATTTCTGCAGTAAGTTTATTATTAATTTCGGCATATATTCTACCGAGTTCTGCATCATATGGGCGGATTTGGCTCAAAAAAATCACTCTGTGAGACATCACTCCACACTTTGTCGCATCTAAAAAAAAAAAATCTCGAATTTAGACATTGTACACAAAAAAAAAAGGTTTAATTTTAATATCCAATTAACTTATATTCAAATATGCATGTACATATTTCTTAGATACTGTACTTAATATTTTTCAAACTCGTCATTTTCATCTCGATCGATAAAATTTTTGCTATCTTTATAAAGTAAACATTTAACATTTAATAAAGTTTAGTAACAAATCTCATTATATTTACGTTCATAAATTAATTCCACACCTTCATTTCCGTCATGATATCATAATTGTTAGACTCTGAAAATCGTAGTTGAATGCAAGAAGCATTGTTCTTCTTTGAACAACCAAAATTTTTTTCGTAGGTTGACAAAAAGTCCAAATAAAAAGAAAAAATGTCGTAAGACCGTTAGTTTTACTAAATTCTAAATGAGTGAAAACAAAAATTTCTCAAAATATATTTCAAAAATGACATAATTATCTTCTATCATTGCTTGCTTCCAATAGTTTTATGATCGTTTAAGCTGACATAAATCTTGTAGAAAGGAATATTTAATAATATTATGATGCAATATAATGAAAGATTTAATTGATGGAATCCCTAATTACGCATTAACAAAAAAATTATGTTACTGGTATATATAATTTTTGTATATTTGATAAAAAAAAAGATTACCGGGACAGAATTCTAAAACATTATCCATTATGATCGTTGATACTTAAGCATCATACTATGAATAGAATTATTAAAAGGCTATCATGAAGTCTAATGATATGAATTTGGGAAAATAAATTCTAGAATTAAAGTCAAAGGAAAATTCACATTTATACATATAGTTTATTTGTTTTTCATATTAATTGTCTCATTGTTTTGAATTTGTAATTGAATATGTGATTATATTAACCGGTGATTTATAATTGAGCGAGCTTTATTTTAGTAAGAAATTTATAATTACAATATTTTCTTTGTTATAATATTACTTTATAAACGTGAATATTGCGAAACTGAGCAACTTTAGCAACTATGCTGTAAAATTTTACGTATGTAAGCTAAAAAGAAACCAAATTGACAATTAATTATTAATCAAGGCATAAGAGAGTGAACTGGAAAATGTTCATTAATACCTTGTTCAATATTTATCGCTATCTTCATTTGTACTTGAAGGTACTTCATCCCCACTTTTTTTTTCTTCCAATTTGGCAGATTTAATTTTACAATAACCAAACTCTCTCCTATAATCAGATTCATCTTCGCTTTCGCCAAAGTGTATTTCCGCTTCGTACTCTCTATAGTATTTGTCTTCAGCTTCTTGAATAATATCTGAATTTTTGTATAGACGTCGTGCTTCTATTCTCATTGCTTCTTGAGCTAGTTTTTTGGAGGCAAAGCAGCAAGATTCAAATGAATATTCAACAGCTTTATACGGAGAAAAAAACACCGATAAGACCCAGACTTCAGCTGGAGTTTTGGCTGGAGTTTTGGCTAGAGTCTTAGCTGGAGTCTTAGCTTGAAATAGATAAGAAATGATAAGATAAATATCAAATAAAATATAAAATACAAAAACATTTCTAATACCTTTAACTTGCGAGTTCCCTGTTGACATTCTCTTTCTTTTTTTTTTTTTTTTTTTTTTTTTTTTTTGATGAACGATTTTCAACGGTAATAAGAGATAAATTCAATATATATAAACAAATCAAGCGAAATAAAAAAATATCAGGAGTACCAAATCATTTCGGTAAATTGTTATTTATTACGACTACAGCAGGCTAGTGAGTACGACTACGTGTGATTACGTGTCGTACTCACGTACTCATTACCACGTGACTTGCTGCGGAATTACTATATAAGGCAAGTGTCATGATCACGTGTTGCTGCGGATTACTATATAAGGCAATGGCGCAGTAATCACATGTTAGTGAGTACGTGAGTACATAGTGTGACAAATAACGTAACCGTACTCACTAGCCTGCTGTAGTCGTAATAAATAACCCTATAATCAAATCATTTCGATCTTTTATAGATCCTGATAAACGACGTTGTGAAACCTGAATATGCATGTGTTTTTTCCTATAGAAGTTGATGCAAATTATAGAAGCAATAATGACGTAATTAAATACTCCTTAAAATTTTAGACAATTCGTCAAACCAGGATAAAATTTTGTAAATAATTCAATATTAGGAAAAATATCTATAAAATATTTATCTATTTTAAATGATTGTAAATTATAAGAAGGATCGGTTATATTTTTTGTTAAAAACATTTTACATAATGATTTTGTTATTAAATAAGTTAATTTATAAGTATTCCTTCCAATAAAAGATTTACGATAATATTTGCTAATCTTACTATCCATAACATATAAATTCCTAGCTTCTTACATACGCATCAGTTTTAAGCATCTCATTATCACAGACTAATCTCAAACGGTACAATTTGCTAATCATTTTATTTATCCTCCATTTAAATCCGTTATGTCATATATGCTAAACCTTCTGAAATTTTAGTGTCTCGAGCGTCAGATTCAGTTGTCTCATCCGTTAATTACGAAAATAAATAAAGAGGCTTTATAAGAGACTTTTTTAACAAGATAATGGAAATATTTTTATGGAAAGTTTATTGCCTTATAACAGAAAAGTTAACCCTCAAAATATAAATTTTCATTGTTTAAATAACTACATAGAACTTATAAGTCATTGATTATTAATTAATTGTTTAATTATGTTAACCAATACAATTACAGTAGAAATAAGCCTACAAATTTTTGAGGGAGTAGGGTTTTAACTGTAACATTGTTTGTGTTTTCCTTTGATTTCTTTCTACAGATACTCTCCCATGAGCTTAACCTCAACTTTCTCATCCTTATCTTCAATGATCACAGACTTCCAACCCTCCTGGCAATATACGTTTATCCAATGATGATCAGCACTATATTCTGGATTATTATTAGGAAGACCAGGATGTCGAATGTCAATGATAGCCCATTCCTTGCTGATCTTCCTAATAGGTTTATAGATTTTATTGATACGACTCTTGTGGTCAGATGCTTTTTCACCATCCCGTAGTAACTCAATTGCCCAACTCCGGCCGTCACCCACAAAGAAATCCATATATCCACTTGACCCCCAGTATGTTCCAACATCAGGAGAAATGAATATGTCAGCTGGTAGGACTTGAGTAGCAGCCTGATAAAATTCCATTTGCCAAGCGCGCTCCAGAAGCTGACCATCTGTACCAACACAATATGAATTTCGTATAGCCTCAGCATTCATATTTGTGAAGGTTCCACGGAGGAAGCTTTTGAAATCTTGAGGAGGAATTATTGGCCTAATGGTGCTCCCCCAACGCCGCTGCAGATAGAGTGCGCGCAAGTAGGGTGAAGCAAAATCGAGTTTACCATCTTGTTCACTAAGTAAGTTTGTCCTGACTAGCCTTTTTTCTTTTCCTGATGTGCTATATGACTGTCTGATATTAATGGGTCCTCGGAATACCCTATCACAAAGTTCTTCTTCCTCTGGAGTAAGATTTTTAATATGTGCAAACCCACGAAAGCCCTGCAATAATAGGATTAATAAGTACAATAACACAATCCTTTTTCCTGGTGCAAAATGAAATTGAGACACTTGCCTCATCTACTGCCCTCATAAACCCATGTGACTTTAAGTACAAAAAAATACTATCAAATTTCAACGTATCATCATATTTCAGTTGCCGGGAGAAATGATCTCTAATATGATTCATGAAAAATGCGACAAGTCCAGGATGACAAGCTGTTGTGTTACACACGTATTCCTGTAAATAGTTAATATCATCCTCATCTTCCATATTTTTGAGATGTGTACTGCAAAAGCGTAAAAAATAATCTTTGTATTCTTCCTCAGTGAAGCGCACGTCTTCTATGCTCCATGTGTTTTCAGGAAGAATCATAAAAGGTGACACATCTATTGTGTAAGTTGCAGACGAAAGATCCCATGCACCCTTGTAGCCATATGCAGCAAAGGCAACAATACTTAAGTTACTGATCTGCTGGCACCGCTTCACCGTTTCCCAAAAGACATTACCCTTGTGACGTGAAGCAGTCTCGTGTTCACCTTGAGGCACATAAAGCATCTAAAATCCAGAAATGTCAGAATCCATATTAATTTAAAACAAGGAGATAATCTTCATACCTGAACTTCGTCAACAATAAATATAGTCCGAATATGACCACACTCATCTTGAAATTTTTTCCAAGTTATGCTCATAAGTCGCTCAAACTCCTCCTCAAATGTCCAGGTTCCACTAGGGATTCCCATCCATAAGAGTGAGATTCGAATTACTCGAATATTAGGATCTTTAACTAGGTGTTGTTCTAATAGTTGGCCCAATGAGGTCTTTCCAGACATGGGTGGAGACCGAACGAGTAAAAAACCTACTTTACTGATCTTCTCTACAAGCTTTTGGATTGTCTGCTCACGATGGCAAATATCAGGACTGTTGAGGTTGATTCCTTCATAAGTACCAACTCTTTCTCCTTCAGTTGCCAAGATCATAGTTCCACCAATGCCTCCTATAAAGGAGTGAGATATTAGGATGGATTAATATGAAAACAATGCAAACATATACTGAAGTAGTCATACCTAGTCTTGGTGTATATGACAACTTTACATCTATATGATTAAAAAATATTCAATATTATTAATTAAGACACAACTTAACGAAACAAGAAAAACATTTGTAGTATTATTAAATGGTAGACAGAATATTGATGTTTCTGTTCATCAAGACTAAACACACCTGTTAATTTGCTTTTTTTTCGATCTTGGTCTTCATTAGCATAATCGAATAAAGAAAATTATAGGGTGTGAGATAACACACGAATTTCTTGTTCGAGAGGTAAACCATTTGGAGATACTTACCAGTGGTGGCGGGCAACTCCACAATGATGTGGATGTGCTCACTGGGAGGAGGTATTTTGAAAACTTGTCCAATAGTTTTGAGGTCGCTGACCAATTTCTCACCTCTGAACATTTCTTTGATGTTGATTCCCTCATGTATCTCATATTTTTCATTTTCAGGAATGTTAACTCGCCATAATATCAGTTTATGTGCGGGTTCGACCAATCCTGCCTGCTCCTTGATGGCTCCTTTGAGATGCCCAATAGTCTTATTTGTATCGAAATCAACAGGAAACGCATTCTCTTCGCCTAAAATGATACAGCCTAACATAATGTCGGTAGATCTGATAAATCAATTCGAGTTAAAAACAAGGTTCAACAAGGTAATTTTTCAGTATAATACACTATAGATACAATGTTGGAGAATTTTCCTCGAATTTAGTTTGTAATAGCGAAGAATAATTTGACATTTTGATTATTTATTATATATATATATGTGTTTTCATAAACTAATTACTACGAACTGTGAGTCAGTAATACTACGAACTGTGAGTCAGTAATACTACGAACTGTGAGTCAGAGATACTACGAACTGTGAGTCAGTAATACTGTCGGGTCTACAAATCCCGAATGTCAAAAATCCGAAAATCCCGAACCGGGCAGCATTATGCTTAATGCTGGCCAATTTTTCGTGAATCGGCGAAACTAATGTTCTGGACAAGACATTATGGCCTTTATGGGTATCAATATTTCGGTTATAACCGAGCATTTGCGCGTACAAGGAAGCGACTCAGAGCTTACAAAGTTAATATCTATTTTTTTTTTGTTAGAAACTTATAATGATGATCGTATAATGGGTGATTTTTTATTGTTATCAGATTTGTTTTAATTTTTAATTTAATAAAAAAGTTTGATTATTAATTTGATAGATTGGGTCAAATATTATCATCAACCTATGTCTTAGCATCATTAAATAAATATGTTTCAAACATGGAAAACGAAATTTATTTTATTTTATTTTATTTTATTTTTAAAATATAGACACGACGGGAGTTTTGTAAAAAGATTGAGAAAAAAAAATAAACTAAAAGTCTAATATACCCAAACAAACATGAAAAACCGACCACCCTAACCTGCCAGTTATTTATAAATATAAACAACATTAAGCATGACCAATGTCGCGACGCACCGATAAAGACATTAACAAAAAAAACGAACCTAGGCCTGAAAGGTAAAAAAAAATGTAAGGGGAATTAGGAGGGTTCAGTATAAGTTTCATTAACCGTATTTTTCTTTCATTAAACGATGCTGCACGTAAATACTGTCAGGTGCAGAATGATATATTGTAATAAGGTCCGGACTTGTTTGTAAGTTGAAGTAAGTATTAATTATGCGCCGGTGTCGGCGGAGGAGTAATCTCCATCGGCATGTCCATAGCCGATTTGAACGATTCATCGCTCATATCTGATTTGTTATCTTTGTCCACTGGAGGAGTACGATGTAAAAAGACGTCAGGACGAGTAAGAAATTGGCGGTCTTTGTCGGAGATAGAGTATGAGGCGTTAGCGTTAGCTTGTTGCGTGACATCTTCGATGACCACACAGCTAGGGAAGGGATATTTATAAAGGTGAAGGTTTCTAGCCATGGTATAGGTGACGTTATATTGCGGAATAGAATCAACATTATATTTCCGTCTATCTAATATTTCTATCAAATAAGTTGATATTGTATATATTGTATGTGTTTTTGAGGTATACCCGAGGGTCGCCAGGTGTACCTGGCGGAATAGGAGGTAGTTGTTTTTTAAGGCGATCACGCCTTTTCTTTCTATGAAGCCAATTTTTGCCCCTTTTATAGGCTTCCTGGTAAGCTTTCCATTTATGGAGACGTTGATCGACGTATGGTATTCGATTATTGATGGGGGAGTGTTGAAGTTGTTTAATGTGGCAGCATATCTGGCACTAGTTCGGGGATTAGTAGTTTCCGTCAATAAATGAGGGTGTGTAAGATTTAAATTACTTCTGGTAAGACGATTCCATCTTTCCATTTGTTGAGGGGACCGGATCACGTCAAAACGTAATCGGGAATATTCTTTGTGTACATATCGGCCGATCTTCAGCATTAGTAGACACTATAATACGGCGGAGTCGGGAGGAACGTTGTCCATCTATATAGTGATATTTTTTAAGAGTGACGGTATAGTTAACACTGAGACGCTGAGAATGTATATTTTTGGTATTCCGTTGATTGGAAATGCCTTCTATTGAAGTAGCATTGGATAAGTAATTTTTATAAAAGCGTTTATCGCGTGGCATATGATGGGTATTATGTTGGACGAAATCGTTAATAATTCGATGGTGACCAACGGTGTTTTGATAATACAAACGCGGCGGGAATTCGTAATTGCAACCAAAATAAAAACAAAGGTAAATCACATGGTCGCCGGCACAAAATCGGATGTAAGTTTTGGTTCATTGTAATTTGTCACCCGTAGATTCAATACGATGTTTGAGAACCAATAGTTTATCTTAATGTTGATATTGTAGAAAATTGTCATTGGTGTAGACAGAAAAATTATTTCTGTAAAGTGTACCACTACCACGTGTGTCGCAGCTTGTGTAAGGATTGAGAAGTTCCGTGGCGTAAGTGAATAAAAAAGTTTTGCAAGGCGATAAAGACGAAGGACGACTTGAGGGTCCTGGGTAGCCTCTTCAGAGATAGTAAACTTCGGGGAAAGTTGTCTGGTAGTAAAGGTTTCAATTGAAGTGGTACCATAAAGATGAGTACCAAGAGAGTTGAAAGTTGTTCCTGACTTTTATATACGAAGAAAAGGTGGAAGAAACTGTGAAGAGGAAGAGGTTTATATTACAAATAGTAAGGTAAAGTATACTAGAAACTCCTTCGGTGCGATCAGCAAATAAACAGTAACGAGGTTCTTGAATATTTAATGGTAAAAATATCCAACGAAAGTCGCTAAAATTTTTGTACTGTTTTTTTGGGAAAGAGTTTTTTTTCCTCCGGAAAACGAAATTTGGGAATGCCATGCAAATAATACAAATATTGCTGAAGCAGCACATGCTCAAGCTAATCGGGAAGGAAAACAGTTAAAACTTCTTACAGCAATCATGCGGTAATTTTTTTATTTTTAAATTAAAATTTATTTTTTAATTTTTGATTTTTTAAATTCTTTACTTTTTATTTAGGGGTAGGTGTTTGGATGAAAGAATTTTTAAGATAGCAGAAACTCACGATAGGTATGGCGTACCTTATACTAGAAGAGATAAAAGTGAAATTAAAAGACAAACAAGAGCTATGAGGCGAAAAAGTAATGACTGATGAGTAATAAGTAGTGATTTATTTATTAATTTAAAATTTACTTAATTCATATGAATTTAATAGGCGGAAAACAAAAAGAAATATTAAAAGAATCAAAAAGTAAAGTCTTTATTTTCTAGGATCTAATACTTAAGGTTTTATTTCATAAATCTATTAATTTACACAATTTTTTTTATTGTACTAGAAAAAGTTCCAATACAAGATATAAACAATCAAGAAAAGCCAGAAGAAAGAGGAGTAAAACAAAGGCAGCAACAAGCAGAAATATAAAAACTAAAAAGAGTAGAGTTGATGTTATTGAAATTAATAGTGATCAAGAAAATGAAGATCAGGATATTATTTTAAATATTGAAATTGAAGAGAGTAAGAATGCAATTAATTGAACGAAAAGCGGATCGTAAACTTCAGGCTAAAATTGAAAAATTAGAATTAGTAAACGCAAAGAACTCAATCTAGTGCTTCGATCTGGATTGATCCGTTGATTAGAATCACAACATTTTTCTATTATTTTTGTCAAACTATAATTTTTGTCAGATTTAAAAAAAATTATTCTTCTACAAAGTTTATTAATTTTGGCCAAACTTATAGCTCCAACTCAAATAAACCGTTGCCAAACTGTAGTAAACCGCGGATTGATCCGTTAAAAACCCATCCGGATCGAAGCACTAGACACAATATCTAATGTGTAACGATCATCTGCTAATCATGTGTCAAAAATGGTTATGTTGTTTTATACGTATACTAAAATTTGGTAAAGCTAATTTTAATAAACAATGGTTATAATTGCGCAAATTAAACACTACTAATTAAGTGTATGATAGTTCTTTTATAAAATTATTTTCATTATTATATATATTAAAAGTTCCTTTGAAAATTTTTATTTTTATTTTTATTTCACTTTATATTAAATAACAATGAATATTTTTTTTTTTAATAAAATGAAGTGTCATGTACATACCAATATGTCAGAAATTGAAATTGCACCTTGGTGCAAAACTAATAAATTGATATTTTTTTATATCTTTTTTTTATTCAAAATATGTATATTCATACATGTACGGTAATTTTTCAATCATGCACGGTAAATTTTCCATACATGTTTAGTCATTTATCCTATACATGTACGGTAACTAAAAAATGTATGTATGCCATACATACAAAAAAAGCTAACCGTACAATACATATTTGACCAACCGTACAATACATGTTTTTGTAACACCCCTGAAGTGTAAGAACTGTCACTCACAGTTGGAATTATTGCGCTATCGCGTTGTGAAATGACGTAATCGGCGGTATCATTTGGTTTCGTCGATAAATCTTGAACGTGGAGTAATCGTCGTCCTTGGTAACGTCGCCTTAGTTCTAAGGCTTTGTAATATATAATTGTACTGAGGGATTGAGCTAGCATTGAAGCGCTTTCTAATCTTGTAATCGAAGAGGTTGGTGTTATAGGTATCTTTGTAATAAATACCGGATCACCAGGAGTACCCGGAGGTAAAGGAGGAAGTTGTTTTTTCTCTATATTGCGTCTTAACCAATTTTTGTCCGTTTTTGAAGACGTCTATATTCGTCAGAACGACGAACGTAAAGAACATCGTTAAATTGAGTGTATTTTTCTGGTAGATGTTGAATTCGTTTGAATACCGCTGGACGTACGTTTATTAATGGGATCGGTTTAAATTAATGATGGTGTTTCTCGTAATTGTGAGTACTTGTAGTTAAACGATTCCATCGTTCTATTTGAATAAAAGTTCGGCGAACGTCGAATTTAAGATTGGTATAATAAATCCGCTTCTTTGGATTCATGCGTTCGAGGCTTTGTGTATGTTCCATCATATTATATATTTTGTATTTCAGGGTTAAGTTGGCCTATGGACCGATTGTATTTGCGTATCGCAACGGTGCAGTTAACGCCGAGGCGTTGAGGATGAACTTCTTTGACGTTTCTTTTATTCTTTAACGTATTAGGAATAAGAAGTTTGCGTGTTTTTTCAGCGTAAAAGCGTAGGCCTTGTGGGATACGATTGTTTCCATGTGTTAAACGACGGTTGGTTATCTTTTCGTTATGAACACCGCAGTACCAGCGTTTTTGAGACATATTAAACAGCTAATCGATACGATTGAGGAAAGCTTAATAGAAACGGAAGCAGCAGTCCCTCGAAGTTGCAACGAAAGTAAAATCCCATGTAGATCACGTGGGTCCAGGCACTAAAACGAATAAAAGTTTTAGTTCTATGATTATTAGTCCGGAGCGAAGCGAAGGACTATATACTATTCGTGTCGGTTTCACAAATGTCCCGTTGTCCGCCCGCTCACTGTGTGAGTCGATGGCCATCCATTCGTATTGGTTCTTTCGGTTACATGTGATAAAAATAGAACAAAAATTGTTTATTTGATATATTTTTTTTGATAAATATTCTTTTTATTCGAATTACCTGTGTTTATTAAGGTTAATAATTTCGCTTTTCGCTCCGGACTCCCAACGGTTACCGTTCCCTAGTTTAAGATGTCCGAGTCGGTTCTATTTTTGATTGCTAATAGTTTATCTTTGAGAAGTTGGCGTAAACGTTTAATATACTTGTTGATAATCGATTGTGAAAATTGTTGATTCAGGGCAAATACGGTTGCGCTATACTGATCAAAAATCTAGGGTGATCCCACTGGATTTTTGATCAGTACGGTCGCGTCATAATCGTCATATACACTCTTATCTTTCTCTCACCCTTTTCTCTTTTTCAATAAAATTGTTTGAGCCGGTATAAAGGTATGTAATTTTTATTAATTTTTATTAAACTATTTAAATATATACTTGATAGTTGAAGTTTACAGGAGTTTTTTGAATTTAACAACTGTATCGCGCCTGTTTTTTTATTATATAGTTACAACAACTTAACCAAAGCGAACGCGTTTCCAAAGGCTATTTTACAGGTACGAGAGACTATTTAAATATTAATTTTCATCAAGTTATTTTGAATATTCATGAAGTAAGAAGTTATTCTTAATTTTTGTTATATTTCGTGCAGATATTTTGTCACGTAATTTAAACATTTTGGTCAAATAAAACTAACTTTTGCTAATAAGTAAAGCCATTTAATGTTTTTAATTATATAGAATATAGATGAGCTAATAATTTGAGTCTCTCAAATATATTTATAAATATCATTATTACCACTTGTTCAACTATCAAAATTTTGTTTAACCCTTTTTGCGTTACATACTGTATATAATTACATTTTTCACGTGATAAATCATTCAAAACCACCATATAATTCTTAAGTTCTGAAATTTGAGTTATTCCATAAACTTTATGATGTACTAAAATCTACAAGTATAATAAAATTAGATATATTAGTAAAAAAAAAAATTTTTTTTTGATAATTTTAAAAATCAATCTTATTATACCTTATTTATATATTCTAATGTTAAAATACCTGGATTATATAAGGTTTTTAGAACTATAAGGATATCTTGATCTTTCCTTTCCAATTTTGATATTACCGCTAGTCCAGTTTTTAAAATTTTGCTAGACGTTTCATATTTTATTACACTTTGCACATATCTCATCTGACTTCTTGTAGCAAACATATAGAGACGATGGGTATGGCTACAACGCCAATAATTTGAATGAAATCTATTTAAATAATAATAATAAATGAATTCAGTTTGTTAGAATAATTTTCGAAATTAAAAAAAAAAATTCAGAAAAAAACACAGAAAATAATTTCTGCCTCGATCATAACACAGGATAGTCCGATTAGTCCGTTGTACGCATTTCTTCAGGGCCGGAATTAAGATAATGTCAGTCAGTATATAGAAGGTAGAAGACAAGATCTACAAGATTATTTTGCCCTCATTCTGCGCAAACACGGATCCCCTACAAACACCGTGAATACAAAATGTAGACAGTACAAAATTTTTATTTATTTTCACTTCGCATAAAGGGAATTTTGCTTTTTGTTAAAGAAAATTTGGGATTAAAATTTATAAAATGTACAGTACTATAAATTTTCTAACTTTGAATTTTAAAATTGTAAAAGAAGTTAAAGATATGTACTTCAATTTGATATTTTAAAAGGTAAATGACTACTGCTATACTAATTTGTATAAATTACCAAGAATTACTAGTAATTTAGTGAAATTGCTGGTCAACTATTAACGTAAAAAATTATACAAAATTATGGGCTGCAATACGGGTCACCGGCGAATGAAATTCTTTGATTTTTAATCATTTTTGTTTTAATTAAAATTTTCAAATAAAAGAAAAAAAAACGATTACTTATACTAAAATAGAAACAATAAAGATAATAAGATCAAATTTTACATGATATTATTATTCAAGCGTTACATACATTTATATAACTAAAAGAAATTTACCTGACGTTACATATAAATTATTTGAATTGTGTAACATGAAAACTTGTGACATGACTGCGTCTGATTAATGAATTCTGCTCGGATATTTTTTTTCGCTAAATGAGAATTATTTATTACCGGTTCTTACATTTTTTCCTGATTTTGGTTCTTTTTTTTTAACCCGTAATAAAAAATTTTTAAATTATTTTTTATTTATTTTGGTTTTATTCAATACCAAAAAAAAAAATTTTTATAATCTCTTTTTCTCTTTTTATTTTTTTATATTTTTTTTTTGGTTCATAATTTTTTTTTAATTGATTTTTTTTATAAATTATTTAAAATTTCTTTTTGGAAATATGAAAAATTTGAATAAATGAAGTAATGGACTTTAATCTGATAAAAGTTTCAAAGAATTATGTAGTGATAAGAGTATAATCAAGATATCAAATTGAAGTTCATGAACTTGGGATCAACTGTCATTTTAAAAAAAATTCATTAAAAATATTTTTCTCTTTATACTATGTTTGGTGATGGTAACAATTAATTTTAATTTTAATACAAATATTTGTTCATATTTATATATTGTATGAAAAAATTGTTAGGAATGATATTTTATAAAAAAAAGAACGAAGTTGGTATATTGCGATAAGAATTTCTTTTTAAAAAATTTAATGAGTTATTAGAATTATTCATAATACATTATTTGCAATTTAAATGTTAATAATATAAATGAACAATAAAAGTAATAAAGGGCATGAAAAAATTACCAAGTATCTTTTTGTAAATAAGCATCATGCAAACCAGGTATATGTTGAAAGTAACACGATTTTTACTTAGATTATATTGTTTTCGATCAAGATCTTGATAAGCGAAATGTACTTATTAGTTCGAACATGTTACATGATATAATATATAAAGTTAAAATACGCATGAAAGCGCAAGGTCGAATTACTAATCTGCAGCAAACAGTTTATTAATATAAATTCACACAAAATAATAATTAGAATCCAAATCTAGGACTTTCAAATACATAAAACCATGCAATGTCAGCCAATGAAATTTTACGGTTCTCGTTACCTAGTATATGTTAAATTATATTCTATCAGTAATAAGACCAAAATAATAAAATAAAATAAAAAAATTTAAAAAGTTACATAAAGGTAAATAATCTATTACAAATACCACAAAATAAGCTGAGTACAAAGGAGAGCAGTGCATGATTTAAGAATAATTAAGCCACTCTTTCTTATTACCACTTTAAGTTAATGCACATTGCACAAAATTGATTACTATTTGTAATTTTAAATATTGATATATACAGTCCACTCAACCAGTTGCGGCTATACTAATTTTCGCCCCAGGTTCCTATTGGATCCGATGTGGAGTTGGCTCGGATTCCATGTAATGACGACAGAAGACATGGATCCGGATGATTTACAATTGATAAAAAATTCCAGATGTTGATCAATCGGACCCGGTTCACAAGCCAGAATCAATGGAACTAGGGGCGAAAATTAGTATAGCCAGCCAGTTGCAAGTAAATACATACTTGTTATCACATTGTGTATGACGTATACACCGATGGATTTTATACTTTTTTATACTTGTTTTATACCGTGGAGTAATTTACAAAAAAATTCATCGGTGTATACATTGATTAATCCTGCCGAATACAAGTTTAAGCAATGGACTGTGGCCAATAATAATATACTATAATGTTAGGGTGTCGCAGACTAATTAATCAAATATTTTATTATGAACAGATTTTTATGTTATACAGATGATCAAATTTTTTTAGCGTAAAATTTTAACAGAAATTTGGTTTGCTTCACGTGACTGGGCTTTTCTTTGGAGCATTTTGTCTATTAAAATAATTGACATAATTAAAAATGTTTAACCGCATTATTGAATTATCAATATATAAAATTTTAGACATTTGATATTCTGATTAGTGTAAATTCTTTCTATCGAACAACTTTGTAAAAAAAAAATGAACGTAACTATTTTGGTATAGTTCTTAATAACACTTTCCATCTGAAAGGAGGTTGAAAAACAAACGCAAGATTTGTGAGAAACTTTTAGAAACTTGTATTATATTTATTATTATAAATTATTAATAGACTATTTAATTAAAATTTATAGCCTTACAAAGAATAAAATCTGATCATAATAAAATATTCAATGTCGCTAGCATAGTTTTGATTAATTAGTCCCTAACTACAATGTTATCACTTTTTTTTTGTGTAAATAAAAAGAGAGATTATTTCTTTGAGAATTTATTAATCAAAAGAACTACAGATTAATATTTATCTCATTTGAATAAATATATCAAATTAATATATATATGGTGTCTCAGATAACGATTTGCGTCAGGTGATAACTGATATCGTTTATTAATGAAATTACTTTTTATTCTATAAGTAAATTTGTATATCGAACGTAATAAACTATGAAATTTGATACTTATTTGATTCATATGCTATAGTAAATTTACAAAAAACTTGGAGTTTCCCGTGAGTTTGAGTCCAAACAATCTTTTAATGTGATAAATAAATTTATTAATAACAAAGAAATTATAAAATTTAATTTCCAATTATACCTTAATCTTATGTGACATGTGACGCACGTCAGTTACAGTATCTTTAGCTGTAATTCACATATTAAAGCAATTATAAAATTAATACCGTAAAATTCTAATCAACGTTACATCAACTAAAAAAAGTTGCATCTCAATTAGTTATTGAATAACACAAAAATTACTCCTCATTATCAAATCTATCTAGTTTTATAAATTTTTTATTTAATTAATAAACTTAGAAAATATATATAAAATAAACAATATAAATAAACTAAATAATAATATCTTCACAATTTAAAATCCTTCTTAATGTCATTCCTAATCAATTAATCCTATTGGAATAATTATCGAGGTGTAAATTTGTAAACAATATTTTTTTCAAAGCCCTCCAATATACGGAATTTTAAACTATATTGACGGAAAAATTCAAATGAAGATATAAAAATCATTACTTTGCAATTAAAATGTCAAACAGAATATACTTGTTTTACCATTTCCGATCTAAATAAATAAAAATAAACAAAAAAATTAACTGATTATGCATAACAAACATTGCTATAATAAATGTAAGTTTAAATATTACCATCTTCATTAAATGTTTAGTCGAGAAATACCAATTTGCTGAGAAATATTAATTTGCTGAAAAATATCAATTTGCTGAGATAATGATGCTAATTAATAAATAAAGTTTCCATTAATAATTTTACAACTAATTTAAATACTCTTTAATAACCATTACCTGAAGATTCCATGCTAATTATATCATCGTTTTGATTATCATAATAATCGACAGAATTTTTTGGTTCAGGAAGATTATTAAAATTAAGCAATCTACTGGTATAAATATCTTCTGAATGTGTTTTATGCGATAATCCTAAGTTGGTTGAAGGTGCACTACTGACCGCCAAATTCTTATTGATATTTTCTGCTTCTCTAGTTTGTTTTTGTATTTCTGTATAATTATCAGTTACATAATGATTTTTAAACATAGTAAATAATTCTTCAGACCATTGACTTAAGATTTTTTTGATTTCTTCTGCTTTTGGTCGACTTAACGGATTTGAATCTAAGCATCTTTTAATTAAACGGACAATTAATTGTGGTACTTTGATATTAAACCTTGGTCTAAGTCCTTTACAAATTCTTATTGCTAAATTATGATCATGATTTACATCATGATATGGAGGTAATTCAGAAATTACTTCATACATTATAATACCAAAACTATAAATATCTGAGGCTTTGGTATAATTTTGTCCTCGTAAAATTTCAGGAGCCATATAAGCCAAAACACCATATGTACTATTTTTTGTGTTTTCTGATGCATCATAGTCTGCAGGTTTACATAATCCCATATCAGTTATACAAGTGAGATCTTTGAACCTTAGTATATTGCCAATATGTAAATCTCGATGAATTAATTCATTTTTATGAATACCTGCAAGCCCTCGTGCAATGCTATGTAAATAATTAATTTTATCATTAAGATATAATTTGGTATGATTTTTATTTAAATAATTTCGTAAATCTCCATCTTCTGCAAAATCTAAAACCATAGCATAATTTTTTGTTTCTGGATCTTGAGTTATTCCATAAAGTTTAACAATACACCTACCCAAATTTACTTTACAATGTGATATAATCTAAAATAAAATGCATATATATTAGCAAAATTAAAATATCTACAAATTTTCAAATAATAAAATTTGTTACCTCATTCATAAACTCCAATGTAACATTTTTTGAATTATTCAAACTTTTTAAAGCCACCAACATATTTTGATTCTTTCTTCTCCAATTTTGATTTTCATCATCCCATTTATCTATACATCCATCAATCCAATTAGCCTTATAAACTTTGCCAAATCCACCTTTTGCAATATATTTAATATCATAAAATCTATCATAAGGTACCCATTCCAATGCATGGCATGTATAATAACTATGATTTGATAGCTGGATATCTTGAATAAATCCATCAATATCGCTATTACCACTTGTCCAATTATTGAAATTATGTTGAAAATATATTGCATTACACACTTTTTTACATTTTTCACATAAATCTCTTTGAACAAGCATATAATTTTGCGTTTCTGGATCTTGGGTTATTCCATAAATTTTAACAAATCCTATACTCTGCAACTGAAATAAATAACATTGAATATATTAGTAATAATTAAATTTTATAAATTATACTAAATGAAAATAACTTTAGTACCTTATTCATTATAAATTTTGATTCAATAGATTTTGGATTAGTACTTAAATTATTTAAACTTACAAACATATTTTGGTGTTTTCTTTCCCAATTTTGACTTTCCTTATTCCATCGGTTTATATATCCATCAATCCAACTTGCTCTATATACTTTATTACTATTTTTTGTAATACATTTATTAATATTATAAAATTTATTATAAGGTATCCATTCTAATACTTCTGATAATTGATAGGCTTTATGTAATGATAGTTGAGAATCTTGTATAAATACATCAATAATGTTATTGCCACTAGACCAATTTCCAAAATTTTGTTGAAAACGTATTGCATTACATACATCATTACATATTTTACATGTTAAAACTACCATGTATTTTTCTGTTTCTGGATCTTGGGTTATTCCATAAACTTTATAGGAACCTATAGTCTACAAATGAAATGGATGTACTAAATATAATAACAAAAATCAAAATATTTTATTAAATAATAGTACTAATTATACCTTATTTAATTTACTAACTTTTGAAATGTCTGAACTTTTCAAAATCATAGATATATTTTGGTCTTTTCTTTTCCAATTTTGATTTGTATAGTTCCCATAAACATTATATATAGAAACCTATAATCTACAAATAAAATAGATGTATTGAATATAATAGCAAAAATCAAAATATTTGATAAATAATATTAATTATACCTTATTTAATTCACTAATTTTTGAAATATTTAAATTTTTCAAAATAATAGATATATTTTGGTCTTCTCTTATCCAATTTTGATTTACATAGTCCCATTTGTTTATATATCCATCAATCCAATTTGCTTTATATACTTTATTACTTTTTTTTGCAATACATTCAATATCATAAAATTTGTTATAAGGTATCCATTCTAATGCTCTTGATAATTGATGGGTTTTATATGATGATAGCTGAGAATCTTGAATAAATCCATCAATAATATTATTACTGCTAGTCCAATTTCCAAAATTTAGTTGAAAGTATATTGCATTACATACATCATTACATTTTTTACATGTTAAAACCACCATGTAATTTTCTGTTTCTGAATCTTGAGTTATTCCATAAACTTTATAGCAACCTATAGTCTACAAATGAAATAGATATATTTGAATATACCAACAATAATCAAAATATTTGAATAATAATATTAATTATACCTTATTTGTAAGTGTTAACTCACTAACTTTTGAAATATTTAAACTTTTCAAAATTACAACCATATTTTGATGTTTTCTTTTCCAATTTTGATTTTCATCATCCCATTCATTTACATATCCATCAATCCAACTTGTTTTATATATTTTATCTTTTACAATACATTTAATATCATAAAATCTATCATGAGGGATCCATTCTAATGCATGGTATACGTAATAATTATGATCTAGTAATAGTTGAGTATCTTGAATAAATTTATCAACATAATTATTACCACTTGTCCAATTTTTGAAATTTCGTTGAAAATGTATTGCATTACATATATAATCACATTCTTCACATATATCTTTCTGAACCCTTATATAATTTTTTGTTTCTGGATTTTGAGTTATCCCTATTGTTAACTATAAGTATAATAAATTAATAAGAGGTATACTGTTTAAAAAATGATAAAATAACTTGCCTTGTTTACAAATTCTGATATATTATATTTTGGATCACTTAAATCTTTTAAAATTACAGACATATTTTGATCACTTCTTTGCCAATTTTGATTTTCTTTATTCCAATTATTTATGCATCCATCAATCCAATTTGCTCTATATACTTTATTATTATTTTTTACGATACATTCAATATCATAAAATTTGTTATAAGGTATCCATTCTAATGCTTTTGATAATTGATAATTTTTATGTGATAATAGTTGAGAATTTTGAATAAATTCATCAATAATATTATTACCACTAGTCCAATTTCCAAAATTTAGTTGAAAGTATATTGCATTACATATACTATTACATTGTTTACATGTTAAAACCACCATGTATTTTTCTGTTTCTGGATCTTGGGTTATTCCATAAACTTTATAGCAACCTATAGTCTACAAATAAAATTGATATGTTTGAATATATTAACAAAAATTAAAAATCTTATTAAATAATATTAATTATACCTTATTTGTAAGTGTTAATTCACTAATATTTGAAATATTTAAACTTTTTATAATTACAACCATATTTTGATGTTTTCTTTCCCAATTTTGATCTTTATCATCCCATTTATTTATGCATCCATCAATCCAATTTGCTTTATATACTTTGTCTTTTTCAATGCACTTAATATTATTAAATTTATCATAAGGTATCCATTCTAACACTTTTTCCGCATCATCATTATGTTGAGTATTTTGGATAAATTTATCAATATCATTATTACCACTAGTCCAGTTTTTAAATTTTTGCTTAAACCGTTTTTCAAAACAAATTTTATTACATTTCATACATATCTCATCTGACTTGTTGAAGGCACCAATAATTTGAAAATCCATTTAAATAATAATAAACGAATTCAGATTAATAAACAATTTGTTCTGAATTAAAAAGAAAAATTTCAATAGAAAATGAAAAAAACTCCAGAAAAAATATTATTTAAGTATTTAGGGCGAAGATCATCTAAATTGGTCAGTTAATCAGGCCTGTAATAGCTATTTCACGGGGAACTATGATTTTCATGGCGCACCGTGAAATAACTGGTTTATATCACGGTATCCGTGCCATAAAACCTTTTAATATAATTATTTTGACTAATAATTAGTCTTTTTACTCCATCTTTTAAATAAACCCGTGAGAATTTCAAGAAAAAACATCACTAAAAAGAATATAAAAATCTAGCTGCGCCTAGATTATTACATGCATTCTGCAGATCGGCGAATATTTATTGTTTTTTTTTTCTTCCTAGTAACTCTCTTTATTAGTATTGTAAGAAATTTGGTGCAAATCTACTTTAATATAATATAGACGTAAAAAATCTAATCAATAAAGTAACCTATCTATTAAAATAACCTATTTAACGTGCAAAACTATTATTATTTTTTTTTATAAAAGGAACTTTACACATCTGTTAAAGAAAATTTAAGCTCTACCTTTTATTAAAATTCATTAATTATTCTCAAACATATTATAAGAATATTTTCCAAAAAATTAAAATACATTATAAACTTCTCTAACTTTGAACTGAAATCGTAAAGAAGCTAAAGACATATTTCAATTTGATATTTTTAAGTCATCATAAAACGAATTGCTACAATAATGATAACTTGTATAAATTGCTAAACAAGAATTAGTGGCGCAAAAATCAATACAGAATTCTGAATTTCAAGGCTTGCAAATTGCAATTAGGGATGGAATCGGTTCAAAATGAGTCGACTCGAGTCGATTATGGAACCGATCTTTAAATTCTGGATTGAGTCATCTGACGATCACACACAAACTACCAATCAAAATTTTTCTGATTGATCATCATCACATGATCTACTTGTGTCTTAACAGTTAAACAAAAAAAAGCTTGGGCACGTAATATAAAGTGTTGGCGTCTAAATTTTGATTGGTTGATCTTGGTGTAACATTTAACTTCGAACAAAGACTTCTAATATTTAAGTAACTTTATCAGTTATACAGAGAATTTTAAAAACAAATACAGTATTATTCAATAAAAATATAATAAAACTATTTAAAACTTAAAAAATTTATTTTCTATTGACTTTTTACTCTTTTTACTATAAAGTAACATAAAAATATACAAGTTTGTGATATTTATACAAAAAACGTCAAAATATATAAATTAATATATATAAATTACTTTAATACTTGCTAAAACAAACTTTAAAAATTTCAAAGAAAAAAAACGCAAAATATTAATATTTATTTTTTATATTAATATATGTGATAAAAAGAAATAAATAAAAAGAAAAGACAATATTTATATAATATAGGTTTCTAAGGTTTCCAAAAAATAAAATGTATAAAGAAATAGGTGAATGGGCAAGT